ATCTTACAAGACATTTTTTCCCTAAATATTAAGATAATTTTTAAAAATTGCTGTTCTCTTTAGTTTAATTTCTCATCAATAATGAATGGTTCCCTATTTTATGGAATAACTACAAATGCCTGAGTCTTACATACAAGACCCTCCATGAGCAAGCTTTAATCCATCAGCATTGAACATAGTGATGGTGTGTTACAAATGCAACACATGACCCAAATGAATGACACACCTGACATTTTCTCACCTTATTTCCTTTGCTCAAGCAAATCACAGTTTTCAACTCTCTTTTGCCATTTGCCATAGTTCATTGTGAATAATGGTCATTTATTTCTGTGAATTCATCTGATGTTCAGAATGTGAACTTCTTAAGGAAGTTTCTATATATGATTGGTTTCTGTATTCTTCACAGAATTTGTGTGCTTTAATGAGAATTTGTTCAATGAGATGGAAAAGGATGCAATGGAATGAAATGAAATGTCATATCCTTTGGCAGGATTATATCTAAACCTTCCCTGTTATATGAACATCTAGATCCTTTTAAAGGTCACCAGATGAGGATATTTCACAATCTTGGAAACCCAAATGTTTGAGATTAAATAAGATTCAAGGAAAGAATAGGTAACTGAACTTCTACATGGTTATTAATTTATATTAATCAGTATTTACCATAGAACAATTATGGAAGTCAGAATATAGTGCACATTTTACATTTATATCCACAAATTCTAATAATTTGTATGGTAAAGTCTTTGTTGATGCTGATACTAAGATAATGTATCCATGACCAAAGTTTAAATCTCTCAAAAGAATTGGTAAGTGCTAGTAAACTAAACCTCAAACACCATCCAAGTCTGACCAGGCCAGGAGACAAAGGATTTCACAGTCAAAAAATTTCTTTTGATGAAAATGGCTTCCAATATGGCAAAAGTCTTTCCCATTAATGAAATCTCAAACTCAAGGCTTTTACTTCTCAATAGATTCACTACTCCTTCAAGGGAAATCTTTTCATTCCTTATCAACATCACTAATAATATCCATCCCTTAAGAAATAAATGACCAATTAGCATTATTTGTGACATGTTTCTTCACAGGGGAATGAGAGGTTCAATTTGTTCACTCCGCCCTCTGAGAGAATCAGCCTTGGGTGCCTCAAATCTAAAGCATGCCTCTACATTTTCTCCCCAATACCATATATATGAAAAATGAATGGTCTCTTCTAACATTTGCGGCAAATTGAACTTTTCTGAGTTACCTAGAGCTAAGAGTTTGGCTAGATTTAATAGTATCCACCACTATAGGATCAATTGCTTTACGTTGCCTAATTGGCAGATTCAATAAAAGTGACTTATCTTTATGGCATTTCACAGTGCTTGAATTTCTGGCCTGCCTCATAATAAAATGCTGTTGAAATGAAGATAGCAAAGGATCCTGTCACAGAATATACAAAAGCATATCTGTAATATTCACGGTATACTTGCAAGAATTGCAAACATTTTTATCTTGCCCTCCAATTCAGACAGAGAGAGAGAGAGAGAGAGAGAGAGAGAGAGAGAGAGAGAGAATGCACCCTCTGATCTGAGCAGAATTTAAATAAATTCCCGGCAACAAAATTTGCATCTTTTCTTCAATTTTGTCATCTATAATCGTCTTTAAGAAAAAAATGGCAATGGCTCAAGGATTTAACGTCTATCTACAGAAAACTAAAAATGAATAACCTAAATATTATATTAGGTTAGAAGTGTAGTAATGCAGCAGGGGGAAGTCCCCCCCCCCACACACACACAGGGGATACTCCAGGTTACTGATGTACTTTTTTTGCTAGATTAAAAAAAAAAAAACCCTTATTTTCATAGATTTAAAGTTCTTGGAAAAAGAAGCTACAAAGTGATTTAATTACTAAATAAAGCTTTGGTTGAACTCAGTTACCTAAAGAAGGAGTATTTATTCTCTTTAGTTTTATGAAACATTAAAAGTCAAACAAAAAAGTATTCCATTTAGTGGATACTTTTAAGAAAACATAATGTACAAGTTTCACATTTAAATAAATTCAATTCTTTTAAAAAATTGTTTGATTTTGTAAAGTTATTTCCTTCTCATCAAAATTACTCCAAGTAACAAAAGAGCATTATTAATTGTCATGCCTTCTCTTGATTATGAGTCTTTCCCTTGTCTCAATATTATTAAAAATAATCTGTCATGATGTACATTCAAATAGTTAAAAGTAGGAGTTGGACTTACTCTCAAAGCCAGCAAGTTAATTTCTTCTGTTCTTTTGATGTACTTTCCTGGTTGTAAATAGTTACATAATTAACTTGCATATAATCTTGTTGCCTTTTTTTATTTTAAGTTATTTTTTTCAAGGAAATTTCATGATTATCAGAAATGGCATATTTTCAAGAAATGGACAGCCTATGTAAATTTTGTGACAATATTAGTCAAATATTTTCCATTTCATTTACTTTATATCTTCCAGAGGAAAGTACAAAACATTTCAGGTGAGTGTCAGAATATTAAGATCCTGAATGGTCTGTCTAATCTTAATGAAGAGTCCCAAGCTAAGACCTTTCTTTGTAGTTGCCCTAAGTTATCCACACTTATGGCTAAGCTAACATTCTTCTTTCACTTCTCTTTTGGAGTCCTCATTCCTGGCTTTCTCTTTTACACTCCAGATATCTAGCACCTTCTGAAGTTCAACATCACTGCTCTAATCCTGCCCTTTCCTTAAATACCTCACGCTTCAAAACTATTAGACACTTTAAAATCATGACTAGAAGGAATACAAGATAGCAATATTTTTATTCTAAAGTGGCTCAATATTTTTATTCTAAAGTGAAGATACGGAGAACCTGAGAAATAAAGTAATTTCTGAAAATCACAAATTAAGTTAGTGGTAGAGCTGGAACTGGAATTCTGGCTTTCAGGGCAAAAAGGTTGTCTTAGGTTAGATTCCTCCCAAAACATATCCTAAGCAAAAGATTCAGGAATAAATAGTTTACATGGAAGGCAACTCACGAGGTGTTATGAGAGCGTGGGAATGTGAAGCAAGTTACCCTGTGGACATTTGGGGCTCTGTCTTGCTGGGAAATCTCTGAGAGTCTGTGGGAAAGATGTCTTGGAATTGTCCCATCATAGGACAAATATTATGTGGGATTTATCCATCAATGATCATACCTCATTTATTAAGTGCAGTTTAGTCAGCACTAACTCTACTTTCTGTCCACTTTCAAACTGGCTAAAAGGTTCCTGCATCAGACAGAGAGAAGCAATTTGGCTATACAGAAACACTCTGCATGCAACTTCCAGTGTAGTGCAAGGAAAGGAGGGCAGGAGCAGTGTAAATCAGAGAAGGGTATTATCCACGTAGGAAAAGTGGTATAACTAGAGAACTAGCACTGGATCTAACTTCTTTATCAGATGTTCAATTAAAATCTATGTGACAAGTTAACTTATCATAGTCACAATTTTAACATCATCATTATAATGTTTTATTTATTTTTCCTGATGGTGTAGTGGATGTACAACTCCCCTTAAATGCTTGATCTTGAACGACTGTGGCCAAAGGACTGCTTGGGGGCAGTAATGGCAAGGGCTAGCCATTTGTCAATGAAATCCGAAGCACATTAAATAAATAAATAAATACTTCTAGAACTTACACAGCAAGGTATCTTTTATCTGCATGGAAAAATTGTGAAGCAAGATCTGAGAAAATGATATAAAAGAATGAAGTTGAGCAAAAAAGCAGATTTAGGAGGTACGAGATAAGGGAGCAGATTTTTTCTTTCAAAGCCATAAATGGAAGAACCAGATCCTGAGCAGACTTGCCAGAAAAAATAAAGGACACCCATAAAAATGCAGATGTCAGATAAACAATGAACAATTTAAGACATATTTATACTAGAAAAGTATTTGTTGTTTATCTGAAATTTAAATTTAACTAGCCTTACTGTGTTTTTGTTTGCTGAATGTGGCAACCCGAATCCTTGACCAATCACAAGAGTTCTTTTATGTGTGTGTGGGTATGTCTTCATAAATTGAGCAAGGCCGTTATCCAACAATAAAACTCAGATCTAGTTTTAATATTTTATAGCATTTATTAGAATGAAATACCTTCGTAATTTTGGATCAGAAATATTCTTGAAGAAATCCCAATCACAGGAGAATAAAAATGCTTTCTAGCAACCAGGGATAATAATTGTAAATGTATGAATAAACTGAAGAAAGAAGGAATTATTCAAATTAAAAGACGTATTTTACAGGAAAGCAATTTTTACAGACCCTCATTTTTCATCAAGCTTAGCCTGCTTCAAGTTATTATAAATTGAAGGTAAAAATATATTTTAAAAAATTCTTAGTCTTAATATTTCCATTTGCATTGCAGGTAATCTCTATGGAGTTTCTCTTCCAGGAAAGCACAGTCTTTATCAATCACATACCCTGCACTGTTCTCTTCCAGGAATATGCTTGATTTTTTTTTCAAATATGAAAAACCTAGTTATGCTATATTTGTAAAGACAAACATCTTAGTCCATGTTCTACTGCTATAACAAAATATCTGAGACCGGGTAATTTATAAACAGAAATGTATTGTTTTCACAAATCTAGAAGCCAGGAAATCCAAGATCAAGGTTCTGGCATCTAGTGAGGGCCTTTTTGCAGAATCTCACATCTTCAAATGGAAAGGGAAGAACTAGCAGAATGCTGCATGAAACCTTTTCTATAAGGGTCTTCATTCCAGTCACAAGAGGGAGTCCTCATAGCATAATATCACCGCTGAAAGGCCCCACCGTTTAATATCATCACATTGGTGACACCTGAAGTTTGAAGGGGACTCATTCAAATCATAGCAACTAATACTGCAAATATCATGTGAAAACAGTTTTAAAACTATTGCTGATTTGAAGTTTTGTTTTATCTGTCAAACATGGCAACTGTGTTTATGTGTGTATGCAACATACATATAGTTTGTTTTCTAACAGAAAGCATACAGCATAAAATATACTAACCTTATGTTGCTGTATTTGACGTTTTAGGTCTTCAAGATCAGGCCCAAGGGGCTCTTCTTCCATTTTTCTTGTTCTCTCTTCTGTTTTTGTTAGCCAGTCATTTAACTCTCTTAATTTCTGATTCTGGAGATCCATTAAAACTTTATGTAAACTGAAAATTTGAAAAAAAGTCTATTACTATCTCTATTAAAGCATCTTTACCTATCATTACTAAACATATTACTAAGTAAAACAGTAGATTTTATAATTTGTGTCATGTTCACATACTTTTTAAAATTTTAATGATGTAGGGTATAATTCAGGGTTAGGTACATAAGTGGTTATCCTGGTTTGGGATCAGGTACCTTTATTAGTGTTATGTGACCTCCCTCCCCCCTCCCCGGCAGTGAACTGCTACTGCTAGACCCTTTCCTGTAGTATTAAAAGATAAATGTTCAGGGTCCATTTAGGAGTGAGAGCATGTGGTACTCAGTTATCTGCTTCTGTGATAGATCACTGAGTATGATGGACTCCAAATCCATCCAAGTTGCTGTGAAGTCCATAATTTCATCCTTCTTTATAGCTGCATAGTATTCCATCATGTATATGTACCACATTGTTTTATCCATACATTTTGTGAAATTTTTTGGACATTAAGAAATACAGAAGTGAAGACTATTATCAATGAACCCTGAAGCTATTCCTCTGCAGACTTTTAATACTTAACACATCCTGATTTCTAGAAAGTTTCACATAGCCAACTAAATGTGAACACGCTAACTAAAATGCATACCTTTTCTGATAATTGAGCTAGTAGTATATCTTAGCAATTATTTACTTATATTCCCATTATTTTAGAATATGTGGTGGTTAAAGATGGCCACTAATTTATTGTCACTCTTTCTCATCAAGAAATTAGGTTTATTTTTCATCATGCTGAATATGGTCTGGTCTTGTGACTTGTTTTGGTTAATAGAATATGGTATAATTGACACAATATCAGCTTCAAGAATAGAGTATAAAAGAACTGGCAGCATTTGCATTCCTCTTCTTGAAGCCAAGAATGTATGCTGTAACGGAGGCCAGACTAGACTACTGAATGATTAGAGATCACATAGGAGTGGCCTTGGAGAATGTTGCTACCTTAGAAGTAAGATTCTAGCTCAGTGAAGCCCAAGGAGTGATCACAGCTATATTATTTTGATTGGAAGAACAATCTGTTTGAGTTCTGCTTATATTCTTGAGCCTCAGAATCATGATGAAATTATAGCTTTAAGTCACTAAATTTGGAAGTCATTTGATATACAGAAACAAATAAGTGAAAGGTTTTTTGGTGTTTGCTTTTTTTCCCCAAAAATATACAAAATAGTGGGCAGGGTATCCAGAATAGATTCATAAGCCAGCTATGTGCCCTACAACCACATTCTCAAACCTTCTTAATTACATTTCCAACATCAGGGACATGGGCTAATACCATGTTTATTAAGTACACAACTTTAGGTTGAGGATGAAAATACAAGGTGAGGTTCATTCATTAATTCAACCAAAATTTGAGATGCAAATGAAATGTGTCAATACTCATTTTAAGGTAAACATTCTTTATGAAAGTCACATTTAAAGCATTTTTCGAGACCATAATATATTGAACACAATCCTACAAAGGAGGACATAATTTGATTTAAGATTTTATTATTTGTACTTATCTTTACTAGAAATGTTTATTATTCAGCACATTTAAACACACGAATACACACATAACTAAGCTTTTATTAATAGATGTTATTTTGGGGACAGTTTTAGATTTACCAAAAAATAATGAAAATAAGCCGGGCTCGGTGGGTCAGCCTGTAATCCCGCACCTTTGGGAAGCTGAGGTGAGTGGATTGCCTGAGCCCGCGGGTTTGAGACCTGCCTGGGCAGGTGAGACCTCATCTCTACAATAAAATCAAAAAATTAGCTGGGCGTGGTAGTACACGCCTGTAATTCCGGCTACTCGGAAGGCTGAGGCAGAAGGATCGCTGGAGTCCAGCAGGTTGAGTGAGACTCAACTCAAAAAAAAAAAAATAATGAAAATAGAATACCAAGTGTGTACCTTGTACCCAGTTTTTCATTTTATTAACATCTTATGTTATTATTGAACATTTGCTACAATTAATGAACTCATATTTGTGCATTATTAACTAGAGTCTATAATCTATTCTGAGTTCCTTAGCTTTGTACTAATTTTTTGTTCCAGTATCTCACCCAAAATTCCGTATTACATAATCTGCTTTTGGCTCTGACAGTTTCTCAGACTTTTTCTTAGATTTAAGGAGTACTAGACACACAGTATTTTGTAATATATCTCTCAATGGAGATTTATTTAGTGTATTTTTCTCATAATTAGACTCTGGTTATGGGCTTTTCCAGGGGGCAGAATGTTTGAGTATGATTTTACTTGCTGACACTACAATTGTTCCAGAATTATTTTCTATATTCTCTGTCCAAATTTTAGAATCAGCCAATTTTTTTTTTCTCCACATTGTCCTGGTGTCTTTTATTGGAAAGTGGTACTGGAAACCAAGATTCTGTTGCTATGTGTTCTCATTGCTTCTGGGTGTTGTTGCTCTTAGTACCTCTGGACTAATAGATAAAAGTAGAAGATGTACGAGGGAGACCCCCCCAAAAAAAAAACCCTGGAATTTATTTATAAAGTATTGTACATTTATTCTTACATGTTTAAACTTCAGTCACCTTCAAAATACTCTCCAATGGATGCAACCCAACCTATCGAGATGCTTTTTCCACTGCTCAAAACAGCTTTTGAACTCGTCAATTAGTGCATCAACTGTTTTTTGTTTCACCTCTTCCACATCAGCAAAGTGCTTCCCTTTATAGACTTTTCTCATCAGGGAAACAAATAACAACAACAAAAAAGTTGTTCTGGGTGAGAGAGAGTGAATAGGGAGGGTGGGACACGGAGGTCATACTGTTTTGTTCAGCGCCGTGTGGTAGGTGTATTGTCATGGTGGAAGAATCATTCACTTGTTTGCCACAACCTGGGACATTTCTTCCACAGATTGTATGCAACCTTCTCAAAACTCCCAGATAAAAACTTTGGTTGACCATCCGATCCGGAGGAACAGATTCCAAATGTACTACAAGGGGTCTGTTCTTTGGGGGGGGTCCCCCTCATATGTGTACTCATCCATACATACTTCGATATGTAATAATATGTACCTATATTAAGCCAAACATGAATTCATACTGATGTCTCTATCTAATCCATTATCCCATGAATTATTGTGGCTTCTTTCCCTTGCTTGTCTATAAATTACTTCCTCAACAGTAAGTAATTTTTAATAAGAAACTCAGACATGATTTCTCTAATCTAGAAGTTGAGATGGCTCTAGATTCATATTGAGCTCCTCTTTCTGAATTGACAGAGAATGGGGTTACAGTACTGAGCCTAACTAAGCACAAAAGATCAATTTGGTTGAGCTTACACAATACGGGACAAGTAGGATTATATCAAAAAACTAAGGGATTTGCCAGGAGTCTCTTAATATCTCCCTATACAATAACGTTAACAAATAGGAAACAGAAGATACCCAATCAGTATGAAACCACGAATACCATGGTTCTTTGGAAAAATTATTTTGATCCCCACACTAAGGTCAAAGTCTCCAATTAGAAGAGTAACCAAAACAGCATTATACTGGCATAAAAACACACATAGGTCAATAGAACATAATACAGAGCCCAGACATGAATTCATGAGTATATAGCCAGCTTATGTTTTACAAAGCTGCCAAAAACATAGAATGGGGAAGGACAGTCTCTTCAACAAATGCTGTTGGGGAAAGTGGCTATCCAGAGGAGATGAATGAAAGTAGATACTTATCTCGCACCATGTACAAAAATCAACCCAAAATGGATTAAAGACGTAAATGCAATACTCAAAGCTATGAAACTATTAGTTGAAAGCAAGAGATAAGTTCCATTACATTTGTTATGTGAATATGTTTTTGATATGACTTCAGAAGCACAGACAACAAAAGAGAAAATAAACAAATGGAATTAAACGAAACTAGAAAATTCTACACAGAAAAAAAATCAATGAAGTGAAGAGACAACCTATAGAGTGGGAAAATATTTGCAAACTATACATTTGGTAAAGGGTTGATATCCAAGTTGCATAAGAAATTCAAAGGAATGCAAATAAACTTAGTTAAAATTAGTAAAGAACCAAAACAGTAATTTCTCAAAAGAACACATCCAAACGGACAACACATATATGAAAAGTTCTAAACATCAGGGAAATGTAAATCAAAATCACAAAGAGGTATCACCTCACTCCTCTTAAGACAGCTATCATTAAAAAAGATAAGAAATGTTTCCAAGGATGTGGAGAAAAGGGAATTCTTACACACCGTTGGTCAGAATGTAAACTAGTATAGTCATTGTGGAAAACAGTATGAAGGTTCCTAAAAATATGCAAAGCAGCCGGGCTCGGCAGCTCAGCCTGTAATCCCGCGCCTTTGGGAGTCTGAGGTGAGTGGATTGCCTGAGCCCGCGGGTTCGAGACCCGCCTGGGCAGCGAGACCTCATCTCACAATAAATCAAAAAATCAGCCGGGCGTGGTAGTACACGCCTGTAATTCTGGCTACTCAGAAGGCTGAGGCGGAAGGATCACCGGAGCCCAGCAGGCGAGGCTGCGGTGGCTGGGAGCGGCCACTGCACTCCAGTCTGGGCAAAGGAGTGAGACTCCAACTCAAAAAAAAAAAAAGGCAAAGCAGAACTACTATAAGATTCTGTAATCCTACTACAGGTATATATACAAAGAAAATGAAATAAATATGTCAAAAAAAACTGCATCCCCATGTTTATTGCAGCACTATTCATTGTTAAGATATGGAATAAACTTTAATATCCATCAAGAAATATATGAATAAAAGTTGTGTGTATATTATATATACACAATGGGATACTATTACAGCTATAACAAAGATTTAAATTCTGTCATTTCCAACAACATGGATGAACCTAGTGGATATTATGTTAAGTAAAATAAGCTAGGCACATAAGACAAGTAATGCATAATTTAACTTATATGGGAAATCTTAAAGAGTTGATCCCATAGAAGTAGATAATGAATGGTGGGTACAAAAGGGTAGGGTGGTTAAAGGGGAG